TTGCTGAAAAATTCCAACAATTAAGTGAATCAAAAAAATTAATATGGACTAAAGAAGCAGATGTTAAAGGGAAAAAAAACCCTATACTGGAAAATCTAGAGCAACCTATTATAAAAAATATGGACCTTCAGGAAAATATACCAAAGCTGCAAGCTTTTCACAATCAATAACTCATTTTTTTCCTATTGAATCTAAAGGTGAAAGCAGTGGTACAAGAAATGAAGAAAATACAATGAGTGAATTGAATAGTTCAGAAGGAGAGAATGACCCAGGACATGAAAGTGAATCTAATGAATCTAGTGAACAAGAAAGTGATTTTGAAGTTGAAAATGATAATTCACTTGAACCTAAATTAACTGAGCTTGAAAATATACTATCAAGTAATCTAAAGAAGATAACTGCATATGATTATTTGAAATATAAATCCTTGCAGCTATTTTTTAAAGGTTGTGTAAATGAAAATTTAACCAAAATTGAGGCAAGTTTGCAGTCTGCAAAAACAGTTTATGATAAAGGCCCATACAAAGCACAACAAATTAGATATTGGGCAAAATGTTGGATCAAAGATGGGTGCTTGCCAAAATCATTACAAGGTTGTCATCAAAAAATTAAATCACTCGTAGATGATGAGGATATTATAGAAAAAAGTTTATCTTATATTCATGAAATCAAAGGAAAAATCACTCCTAAAGAGTATAAAAAATTTGTAGAGCAAAGATTATTTCCAGAACTAGGTTTAACTGAAACTCGTAAAACAATTTCAATTACTACATCAAGAATTTGGTTAAAAAAACTTGGTTTAAAACCACAACAAAGAAAAAAAGGAATATACTTTGATGGGCATGGGAGGGAAGATGTTGTTGAATATAGGAGAAGATTTTTGGATGAAATGTTGCATTATGAGAAGTTTATGCCAATTTTGATGGAACAATGCAATCCAGAGCTTTCAGTTAATGAAAAATTACATATATTTGTCACCCATGATGAATGTCTTTTTTATTCAAATGATGATTGTCCAATTATTTGGGCACCTATTGGTGAACCACCATTAAGAAAAAAAGGAATGGGAAAGTCTATTATGGTGAGTGAATTTCTTTTGGAAACAATTGG